AATATGTGCTACTTGAAATCGTTTTAATTGGATTATTTTCATCTTATTTCTATATTATTACTAATGCAGCTTCCAAGAAACACTGATATCGTTTTCTTAAATTTATTTTTGCTTTGTTTCTTACTCTGAGAATGTATTATAAGAGATTTAATTAAATCAAGAATACGTTTAAGATATATTTGTTTATTTCATTATCCACTTTAATTTTTTAGTCTGTCTACAGATATTGATTATTTTAAATAATTATTTTATTTATCATTTACAGATAACATGAAATAACATTGTACATTTAAATCAATTAATTATAATTAATATATTTATTAAAAATATAAATATACTTATTTTTCTTTGATAAATTAGCAAGATTGACTGGTTTTATAATTCAAATAAATATCTTCAGATTTTCTTTTAATTTCATTTTTTTAATGGAAGTTAATAGTAATTTATATTAAATTGTAGTAAAGAAAAAAATATGTTCTATTATATAAAATGAACATCCAATGAATGTATTGAAAAAAATGAAAAATCAAAATATATTCGTGTCTGTACCAAGTATTCAAATATTGAGTTTGTTGCAAACATTTTTATTAAAGATAAATGCTTAGTGACCATGTTACTGCTAGCACAATGAACAAAAGAATGATAAGATTCTGTTCGTTTCTATGACATTTATTTAGATTTGTGTGTTATTTATAGGAGGGTCCGCACAGTGTGATAGCAGACGACGAGTTCTACGATGCCGTCGAGTCTGGTCTTGATAAAATGGAGGAAGAGCAGGAGCTACGAGAAAGGCTCAAGGCCGGAAAGGCAATTCCGGATACGCCGCCACCTACATCACCCGCAGGCCAACATCGCCTTTGGCCCGAGGTAATATAATTCAATAGAGAGACAACAAACTCCCTTTTTCGATCCCAGAAGAAATAATGAATTATATATATATATCGCCTTGTTTGCTACCACAGATAGACACACTAGTAAAGCAGCAGGTGTCCATGGCCCGTTTAGGAGTCGGAGAGTGCGGCGCCGGATGGCAACTGTTTGCCGAAGACGGTGAAATGAGGATGTACAGGAGGGAGGAAGAAGTCGACGGTATGGTCGTCGATCCTCTCAAAGCCGTGCACACGGTCAAAGGGATTACCGGGCACGAGCTTTGTCACTACTTCTTCAAACCTGAGTACAGATACGACTGGGAAAGTAAGATTATCGACAAAAGTAGAACTATCGAAATGGTTTAACGTTGTATTTTTGTTTGGTTTCTTTTTCTTTAGCAACTTTGGAAAATATGCAGGTTTTAGAAACGATATCGGATGATACGCTGCTCTTCTTCCAGACACACAAGAGGATTTGGCCTGCCAGCCAAAGAGATACCCTGTTCTGGTCACATATGCGACGACTACCCAACGATCAGGACCGTGATGGTCCGGATATATGGGCTGTCGTCAATAATTCCACAGATCTCGCCAGTTATCCCGTGAGTCCCGTGCTTTAGCCTCAAGGATAACATATATAACTAATACTCCTTTTTCTTTCTTATTTCAGCCCAACACGGGTAAATGTGTGAGGATATTCCTGACTGTATGTTTGCTTTGTCAGACTAGGATAGATCCACCTAAAGACGGGGCTCCCATATCCAGAGATAACATTACTTGTAAAATTACTTACTGTTCAGTTGGTGAGTAACATATAATTTATAAAAATATGTTTAGAACACAAAATGAGAAATTATTAGTCAAATACTCTTAGCAATTGGTCTATACAACTACAAACTAATAAGTCTGATTATGAGGCAAAAAGATTAGGAAGTTATAAAGTATCAGTATAGTTTTTAAGTTTTTCAAAATGATTTTAAATTTGAATGGCATATTGTAATTTTTAATCGTATTTTTAAACATATCGTCATAAAATATTACAGTTAAGTTGTTTATACATTAAAGAATGAATAGGAAGAAACCTAGTCACTTAATTTCTAAGAGTGCATTTAAAATCTTGTATGATTCATATTTGATACGACGAGACGAAAATAAAACATTTTTGCTAATGCTAATTTGAAGTTCTATATTGCAATTCCAATTTCTTTCAAGAATAAATAACGCAAATAATTATATTTATGAATTCCGTTTTGGTCCGGTTTACCTAATCAACATGCTAGATCCGACTAAGGAGACGCTCCGAACATTATTATCGATTACTTTTCAAGGTCTTCACTGCAAAGAATATAAGTTATATTTATGTGCACAGTATTAATCGCACGTACTATAAAGTTCTCTACACGTGCATTCATTGTTTTCGCATTGACTTTCTTTATCTTTTTATAATTGGTAATTTGTTTCTTTTTTTTCAGTGAATCCTGGTGGATGGGCACCGGCTTCGGTGCTGAGGGCCGTCTACAAACGCGAGTATCCGAAATTCCTGAAACGCTTCACGGCCTTCGTTACAAACAAAACGAAAGATAAGCCAATCATGTTCTAGCACCATTGGTCCGTGTGTTTCTAAAGGAAAGTAAGAAGATTGAAAAAAAGAAAACAGAACAGAAAGAAGGAAAAAGGAAACTGCAAATGCGGTGTTTTTTTTAATTATTTTTATTTTTTTTTTCTTGTTGATGTTTTAATTTTTATATATTATTATTATTTATCCTTTATTAAATATTATTTTACTTATTATTTCTTTATTTTTTTTAATAATGATCCTTATATTAGTTTTGTAAATCATCTGCTGTTTGGAATATGTCTGTAGATGTAAGTTTAAAAAAAAAATTGTGTATAACGGAGAAGACTGCTTGAATGAGGACATAGTTTCCTTGGATATGTTGGTATTAGAGATCTTTCTTGTTTCTATGATTCGTTCAATCCTTGAATACTTTACAGCGTTAAATCAATGTGGTGGAACGGATGAAGAAGGATATAGGTTGAAATTTGTAAATATAAATCGCTGATCCTCTCGTCTAAATCTGTTAGATTATATATTTATATTTCGAATAGAGCTTGAATGGCTACAGCAAAAGCGACGAGGAATATATATTGAATGTTATATAATAACGCATTGCGTGTTTTTTTGTATCCCAAGTGGAACTATAGTACCAAGAAACGAAGCGCCAAAGAAAGCAACAAACAACAATAAGAGAAAAAAAAGCGAAACGAAACTAGTGAATTAGGTTTTATTAAATAATTCTCGCCTACAAATCGAATGCGAAATCGAAAGGATTCAATCGGAAATGCTTTTAATGTTTACAACTAGTTGATGTTTCTATACTTACATTTATTGATAATACTGTGATGCTAGCTAAATGGAAAGTGATGTTTTGAGAAGAGTAAATCCTATGCTTTTGTGGATGTTTATCGATTATAACAAAGAAATATGTGGAGATTTGTTTGTTCTTTTGTAAGAGAAAAAAATGATTGGGAATGAAACGAATTTGTGGTGCTTTTTGGTCTGATGTTGATTGAGTGTGATGGTTTTTTGACACGATTTTAAACGTTTTTTTTTAATCCTTTGTTTATTGGTGTTTCGAAGGAGATTTTTTGATTTTGTTTGCTCGTTCAATTTGAAACAAACAATTATTGAAATCTGTGTAGTTTATATTAGAATTTTATAAATGTTTTTCTAAAAAAATATATATATATGATATATATGGAAATCAAAGTATATTATAATAAACAAATATGCTATTTTGTCATTTCTTATATATTTTTTCATTATTATGAAAAGAGAAATTAATAAAGTTATATTACACCTAAAAAATAATCTCAAGTCAATAATATCCTTTTAAATTTTGTTATTTTTGTTTTTATGGAGACAATAATTAAGGTAAGATTTATTTAAATTTTTAGTCCATTCAGACATTTTTTATTGTATTGTATTGCATTTCCGAAAAGCACGCAAGCACACAAGAACTTATGTGCCGTATATGGAAATTAATCCTTGAAAGAAAGGCAGTGTCAAAATTGGTTTGCCAAATTTCGTTCTGGTGATTTTTCACTGAAAAATGCGCAACGTAAGCGTCCAGATAAGACCCATATCAAGATCGTCATAACACGTGAGATTGCAGAGAAGTAATGTATGTATACATATTATTCAAAAAATTAAAACAGCTTGGCAAACATTTTGAATTTTCCTTCTTATTTAAAATACGCAATCACTTAGTTTGCATGGGGGACCAAGCTATGAAATCGCATTTTCAGTTTTTATGGTAATAAATAAAATAATAATTAAATAAAACACATCTTTAATATAAAAAAATAAATTATAAATTACATATATCTAAAAAAAAATCTAATTGAAACATCTAAAACTGGTTGGAGCATAATCCAGGCTCAGTCCTGTAAGGATGTGCCTCTAAATTAGTATGTATCATCAATGGATTCCTTCCAATGGAGAGAACGATTTGTATTGGTACAATTTGTCATCTCCGTAGCCGTACAGCAAACGTCCAACACCATTTTGGTCATAGTACGGGTATCTGTATTTGGGCCTACAACAAAAATATAAATTATAATTTACAAAAAAAAAACTAATAACAATTAAAAATATTTGTTTAATTAATTAATTTAATATATACATTTATAAAAATGAATTCAATTGTCTGAATGTTAGTTTTATTTACACGTTCTAATAATTTAATCATTTCCCACTCCAGTACAGCAATTGTTGTAAAACCGCTCTCTAGAAAGAAACCAAAGTCCAAAACAGAAATTCCCAACTTCACTCTCAACAAACATATCCAGTAAATATATATCTTATTAGCTTAAGATTTCTTCAGATAAATTATTACGTTATGTTGTTATTTTTTTTACAGAAATTATATTTTAACTTTGCTAAGAATTTTTCTGTACAAAATGAGTTTTTCTTCAGCTTATTTTTATACTTTAAATTTTCCAACAAAACTTCTTATTTCGTAACATGCAAAATCAATGAGTATTATGATTTCCACAAAACAAAATATGTTTGTTTAAATGAATGAAAATTACATTTGTAAATTAGTTAATTAATTAACATAAATATATCAAAATTTTCATATATTATTACATATAACAAATAACTTTGTTACATTAGATAAACTTAAAAAAAATTGTACTTAGAAAATACGTCAAAGATTTACGAAATATGTGAGAAAGTGGAAACATTTTAAAAACTTTGAATTTCTTATTGTACATTTGGAAAAATTCACTGCTACTCGTGTTAATCTAAAACGCGCATCATCTTGTTATAATTGGTTCAAAATCGACTAACAGAATCGTTTGAGAAGGCTGTACACATGCACACTGATTGAAAACATTACAATGGTGCCAACACCGTTGGAATTGTTTGGAATTCACATACCGCATAAAAAAATCGCACAAAAATAAAATCTCATAATAATAAGGACCTCACAATAACATGTTTTACTGTAATTATTATTACTAAATTACATGTTTTCTAATTTTGTTGCATTTCTTACATGCATTGTTACATATTTAGCAATTTTGATATTAGAGATTCATCATAATCCTTGACACAATTTTTAATTTTATTTAAAAAAAATCTTAATTCCAAAATATATTAATATTTATATATTATTAAATTTATTAAAAAAAGTTACTATTATTATAATAATATTTATTTTCGAAAAATAACAAAAATACTAATTAATAGCGTTGCTCACATTGAGACTATATGTTTACTGTTTTCATAAACAAATTATTGTTAACAAATTTTGTAAAATGTAGTGTTATGAAAATGCAAGGCCGAACATTACGAATGTATAAAGTATTACGAATTTTTATTTGCTCTTTGCGTGTATTGCATTTAAATGAAGACATAAATCAAGACAAACCTTTCGAAATATTGGAAATTCGGAGCTCTCGGCGTCAGAGTGGCAGCAACAATGGAGAGAATTGCGAAAAGCACCTAAAGAACAATTTGAAATTTAATTAAACAAAAATAATATAAGTTAATGAAGTATTTTTGCTTACCAGGAAGACGGAAAACTTAACCATCGTGTCGATTCGAGTATTACTGATAATAATAGTATAGAATTCACGTTCGATCGAACAGTCGTTCTCACTTTCACTCTCGTTTTGTTACAGCCGCAGTCGACGGAATGAACTTCGAAGGTGAAACTTACCTAATACTTAAAAGAGAAAGTACTTCCACTTCCATGGGGCCCGAAAACTTTGCAAGGGGACATTCCCACTTCAATGTTGACATTCCATTTGGATGCTCTAACTTACAAATCGATTTTGACATTGCCATTTTCTACTTCCTTAAAGATATAATACATACTTTGTTTCGTATGTGGGACATATTGGAGTAATTGAGTAATTATTTTTGAAATATGATTTCCACATTGATGTCATCGAATTAATTCCAATTAAACGGTTCTTACGCAAATGATCCAATCAAATCATCAACAGCGTTTAATTGCTGTGCTTCCAGTTGACTTTATTTCAATGTGGTTTTATTACTTTACGTTTGTTAATTATAGAAAGTTGTAATAATAATAACATTTAGGAACTAACTAATTAAGTAATGTTCTCGGGTAGGAAGTAAAGAAAAAGAATAATTACATTTTTTAATGGTAAACACTGGATAATTATTAATAATTCATTCAAATACGAATTAATTTATTGCTTGGAATAATACAGTAAATGTAAATTATTAATTCAATATTCATTAGATAATCGTAGTTCCCTCACTCCTTTAAGTAACACTTTCACTTTATGCAATTCGTGAGTGAAAATAGTAGTTGTATTGCCGTGGTTCTAGTCACATACACGTCCTGGTAAAAATGGCACGAATTCTCGAGGTAAGATCTACCCATTATATGATTGTTAACAACAATACAGCCTTGCATCTTTCAGGTTATTTTGTTCTTGTGCTTGGTGTCGAGTTCTTTCGGTGCTGTGAACGTGGTCAGGGATTTGCTGCAAGTTAACGTGTTCGGATTGCCGGTCCTCCACAAAGAGGTCAGTTGGCCCTTCGATCCGGAGGTCGGCGTGCGAAGATCCAGGCAGTACCAGGCCATCAACGGGTTTCACGGCGAAAAGGCCATTGAAAGGCTGGGTCTTGGCATAGATGGATACGATCGGGAACGATTGGCGCAACAAAGGGCCAGAGACGTCCATCTCTTGGGCGGATTAAAGAGGCGTTAAACCCATCGTCGATTGTTATTTATTTTCTATTGTTAACGGACGTAGTTTTGGAGAGCTTTAAGAATGTTTTATTAAAAATAGTTTCACGAATTCGTAGCGTGCGTTTCTATTCCCAAGAAAAAGATCTTGTTTCCTTGAATGAAACCGCATTTCTGGAACGAATCACATAAAAAAAAACATACTGCTACCATTGGTGGTATTTACAACAAAGTCACACAAATAACACATATTTTTAGAAAAAAACCTAATTAAAACGTTGGAAACACCAAAATATTGATCAATATTTCCAGCTATAATAACACTTTGATAATTATTAATTAACAAATACAAATCTTCCTACAGAAACACTGCAAAATTACTTCAATTCTTAAATGAATAAAACTAAAAAAAAATATTTATTATTTATTATTTACAACAATAAATTTACATATAAATATCAGTTTATTCACTTTAGTACAATTATATCTTAATGTTCACTTATAATTAGTAAAATTCAACAATACACCAAACCAACTAAACGTTGGATACACCTAAAAGTTTGATCGATAGTTAAACTAAATCTGTAAGATACAACATGTTACAAATGAATGAGTAAGTAAATAGTATAACAAGAACAATAAAACAATTTAAAATTTATTAAAATATACACAAACAGAGAGACTGTAGAAATACTTCAACAATTAAATGAAGTAAAACTGCAGCAGCTGAAGGAAACGTTCAAAAATGAGAAAGACGGTTGCGTAGGGAAAGAAACTTTCACCACGTCTTTCGCGTTTCTTTTCGGTAAGAATTAAATTCTTTTTGATGTTCCAATAATAATAAAAAAAAGAAATTTTGCAGATGATGTTAGCGTGGAGAGCATTGCTTTAAACGTTTTTGCCCAAATTGATATGCAAAATGTCGGATCTATTACCTGGTCCGACTTTTTAGATTTTGTGTTGGAGATCTACAAACCCAAAGATGATCACGTCCTGGAGCTTCTTGAAACTGACATCATCACTCCGCCGCATTTAAAGGTCTATTGAATTGAAGCATTTTAACTAATTTTACTTTAAATATTTCTAGAGGGATCCGATTACTAAGATTGTTCTTATAGAAACGTCATTGTATTTTTGCTATGCGATTATATCGAAGTACGGTAGCGTCGGTTTGTACGATGGAAACTTGGACTTTTTAACTTCGTATCATGCGCTGATGGCCAGGGAGGACATGCATAGAAATGAAGCTGATAAACGCAGGAGGAATCGTTGGGTAGCTGATGCGATGTTCATCAGCGAAATTCAAATGTTTCTTGTATCCGCCAGCTGCAGAAGCCTGACGGTATACGACGCTTCCGGACTGCAGCATGTACCAATTTGGTTGATACTTGGATTCCCAGATTCTATTCAGGTTGATAACACTTTTATAAAATTATTAAAATTACTTGATTTTTGTGATTTAATCATCATTTTAATTAAATTATTGTAATTTTTTAGAGTATGTCATATAATTTCGATGAAAGATGTAAATTGTACCTGGGCAACGAATATGGACAAATCTCAATATTTCAGTTCCAAAAAACCAAAGATAATTTGTTTAAAAGAAAACACAACGATAAATTATCAATTTACTTTTATCAAGTAAGTAAACAATTGCTGTTATTCTCTTTCAAACGTAACCTTTTCTTTCTTTAATTCAATCTCTCTGCATTTTTATGAAATGATATATATTATAGGAATTGCCGCATCAGAAAGAATTTGTTATAATAAAAAATTTGGGAAGACCTCATGTGGAATCGGTGAATGGATTGGAATGTTTCCATAACAGTCGCACGTTTATCTCAACAAGTAAAGATCCTACCAAATCCGTGATTATAAAAGATACTGAATATAAGTCTAGTAACTACGTTTTCAAAATGCGTAGGGTAAGTGAAAAATTCAAGATATCAACTTTATATTTTAATATTACAATAATATCAATAGTTTCTATTGAAAATATATCAATATCAATAAAATTTCATAATATCAATAGTTTCTATTGAAAATATTGTAGTAGTAATTAACAAAACTGCATTTGATTTTAGGGTGTTCAATGTTTCGCTATAAGTGATGGATTGAAAAGTTTAATTACTGGAAGCGATGATGGAACCATTCGAATATGGAATTGGTTAGTTCCTTCGAAAGCAACAGCGGTTTTACGAAACCATAAATCAGGGATCATCGATATCGTTCTGCTGGAGTCGCTTAAAATATTCATAAGCTGCTCCAGGGACGGGGTAAAGAATAACTTAAGAACATTTGAAAAGGATGCGATCATCCCTAGTAAATCGCACGTCCTATTTTGCACCTGAATAAGAAGCTTTTACACGAAGATCGTGCTCGCTTCAATAGTCCTTGTCAATAACACCCGATCCTTTGTCGAGTCAAAGTAAACACGTTAAGAATCCTTTCACAAAAAAAAATCTTCAATTCTTTAGTTGAATTTCTCCTATATGAATCATTTGTTTAAGGTTTTAAAGGTGTGGGATTTAATAGAGCAAAAGTGCGTTCAAAGTATTCATTTGAACTTTCCCTGTTTCGAGATCGAAGGTAGATCAATCGAGTGGGGTTCCCGCTGCATCTTCCCTGGCCCCAAGAGACAAGATATAAACTAGTGAGTGGAACTGGTAAAAATACATTAACACGCATACAATCTATTAATTACTTTTTAGCGGCAAATGGGAAAGAGATTTCCTTTTAGTAACCTGTTGCAATTCTATTAGGAAAATGAAATTGCTGTATATGGACGGAAGAGAAAGAGACTTTGACTCTCGCATTCTATCACCACCGCCGCTATTGAACAGCGTTTTGATACCCAAGAATTGGAAAATATTCAATGTAGAAAACGAGCATGAGTAAGTAATTTCAATAATTGTTTCTTGTTTACTTATTAAATTATTTATTTAGGTCTACAGTAGATGAAATTGATGATTTGTCAAAGTTAAAATTCATTTTAGACAAAGATGTTTTAGGAGATGGAAAAAGTCAAATTAATTATAAAATATCTAAATTGGAGGATAAGAAAATGCAGGTATTATTTTATTTGATGTTAGTCATGTTAAAGGTTTATGCGTGATGTTTTAGATGAGATGGGCTGTTGAGAAATGTGCTCCACACCTCGCCTTAGATTTGTACGATATAAAAGAATTGGAATTAAGTTCATCGCTCCCAGTAGATGTCAACAAGAGGACTAAGAATTTATTTGATAGGACTCAAAGATTACTTGTGGATGCTGCGACGAGATCGGTTATACTATCAGAACAATCTTCGTCTTCTAAATCTCCAAGATCATCTAGAAGCAGTATTATTGAATTTGATGATCTATAAATTTCTTAATCTTAAGTTCACAAATTCTTAAGTTCTTTACATAATAGATCGTATAATCGTACGTTCATATTGTTCTATAAGATTATATAAAACTTTGAGTAGTTTATTGAATTTACTAAGCAAGACACTAGTATAATTCTTAATATATAATCATTGCGGTTGTTAGTATGTCAATATTTTAATATATTCTTTGAAAAAAACTCATATAGAGACCAAAACTAAATACAATATACTTTCGAAGCCGCGTGTGGCTTAATATCTTTATTTTTAAGCTGATTTATTCTAAAAATAAGCTCATTGTCTCCACCAACGCACCTCGAAATATTCCCTTAAATATGAAAATAATACAAGGTAAATCAAAATTTAAAAAAAGGGACATTAAAAGGCTCCGTTTTCATCTTCTTTCTTGTTTGTGTATTTATGGCCGCATGTTACTAAGCCCGGTAGCCGCAACTTTTTATTGTCCTATGGTTATTTGTTTTATGGTTTCCAAGCAATTTACATTTAGTTTTAGTATTATTATCCTTCTGCAAGTCGACAAAACAGAAATATTTATTTAAGACCGCTCGTGTGTTTTACTCAACATATGACATTCGTGTTATTTCCTTCCAAGAATTTAGTACATGTACATCTGATCTAACATTTAATAGCATAATATCAAAAAAAGTAAAATAAGTAGTCAAATATATATTTTGTAAAAAATTATTAATAATAATGCAAAAATACTTCATTCTGTAAGAACTTTATTTTTAAACAATATTAATTATTGTATATTATAAATAACTAACTGAAATTTAGTTGTATATTGTTAAATGGGAAATATTCTGCAAGACATTAAATATATAGATACAAAAATCAAAATTTACATGTTAAAATTATTATAAAAGATTACTGATTACTGATTCCAGTACCAAATAATAAAACATCGACTAAAAGTAATTTAAAATATTAAATCAATTTTGTTTTATTTAAAATAACATATGTAAATATATTTATATATTATAAGTTTATTATTATGGTTTATTTGTGTCTTGGCACTTTCGTGCCAGTTGCTCTTCTTTGCCGGGGTCCTACCTGGGCCCTAGGGCGTTTATTGTCCGATAGATAGGACATTATTATTATTAATAATAATAATAATATGAGTATATATTATAATAATAAGAGTTTTTCAATTTTGAAATAATTGTCATATTTATTGCAAGAGTAACTTTATCCCATTATTATTAATTCCGGGCAGAAAGACCTATGGTCAATAGACCTTTGTAGCAAATCAATTTGTTCTTTTTTTTTAATTTTCTTGTTTTATTCTGTTATTTTTTTGAGTATGTGTTATGATTTGGTACAGTAAATGTTATTATTATTATTTCCGATGATTTTTAAACATCAATTCAATTGTTTAAAATGTCTATTTGGCATACACTCTTATTTATAATTCATCGTTTGGTATATTTAAAACCATTTAACAAGTTTCAAAGATATGGAATGATACATTTAGTTGAATAAAGTTGTTCAATGTGAGACTCTGTACAAGCGCTCCTAATAATAACTTAAACACGCAATGTTTAAATTTGTACTTTTAATTCGATTTGATTTAATTAAGTATTAAATGATAGCCGATAGTCGTAATAAGTAATATTACTGTTTAAATTAATAAATGAGGAAGTTATAAATAGTTATGCGAGTTTTATTTTTGTATTTGAATTTGGCGCGCCGTCAATAGTTTGGTTTGCGGTGAGCAGGGGGGCGCTGTTGCACCACCCCACTCTCCGCAAACCTGTCACTAATTGCTTGGCGGGAAGTTATTAATACATTCTTTGCGGACAATGTCGGGCACGATTCGCCCTCCAGGTGCGTTCCCTTCAGTTACATAAGTTGAAGAGGTGTGCGAAGCATCAATCGGAGTTGTGCGCGCGCCCTGCCACCACGAAGAACTCGAACCATCATCATCAAGGTTATGTTTATACTGCTTAACACTCCGGCTGGGTTGCTGGCTGCAAGCAGATCATAGGGAACACCGTGTAACAGAAAGAGATATAGAGAGTGATTTGTTGGAGCAAGTGAGTGAGGTGTAGTAGTCGTCGTCATCGAAGATAAAGCTGCGAGTTTGGTTTCGCGCACACCGATTCGTCGGCTTCCGAGATCGGTCCCGCCACTAAAGCCAGCCCAGCCGCCTGGGACAAAAAGGAACCAAACACCATCCACCGTTTATGGTGGGAAAACGAGGGCGGGAAAATAAAGGCGCGCTAAAGAAGAGGAAGAAGTACACACATACACAGGATTTCACCAGATTTTCCCGCGTTTTAAAGGCGTTGTCTGTCTGCGAGGTGGTAGTCACCACAGTCGCGCTCCAGTTGTGCCCATAGGCAGCGAGAGAGCGACGCAAAACCATGGCGAAGATGGGCATCCCCGAGGACCCCGAGGATTCTCTCTTCAGGAAGCAACAAAAGCTATGCAAGGATTTGAACCTCGACGAAAAGACGGCTTCGCAAGCATGGGAAGATTACCGAAATATCAGTAGCCAATTCACACTAGAAGTAAGTTACCAACATTGTATTTATTTGCATCAAAGACACACACTATCCCCACATCCACCCACAATAGCCAATATAATTACAGCTAACATTAGCTAATCAGTCATCATAATTTTTTTGCAGGGTGATGATATGCACTGGCTCGGTTGCAGCATCTATGTAGCTTGCAGATTATGCTCCACTCAGACTGTCTCTAAAAGCATAGTCCAAGGAAATCCAGTTAGTCTAACAAGCTTGCTCAGATCATGCAACCTAAGGTAATTTATATCTAATTTCCAATATAAATTAAACTAATTTCTGTTTAAATAGTCTACAGCAATTCTTTAATAAAATCATGAAGTGGGCTGATATGGCTGATATGCCAGAGGATGATGTGTTCAGGACTAACATTAAAATGTTAGAAAGGAACTTCAGTGTAACATGCAATATCTATAAGGAATTCTACCCAATGTTTACCAAGATATTCAAGACGCCTGACATGGAGCCAACAAAGCACAGGAACAGGAAGCAAAAGTATACAAACAAAAGCCGCCACAAGAGCCACAGTTATCACGAATGTTTGTTTACAGGGCGCCGCTTTGCACGCCATTGAAGATCTTCGAATTCACTTGGCTCCTCTTCATCACTGTTAAAGGAAAACACAAACAGTGCAACAACGATCTGGTGAAATCTTTGCATTTCATTTTAGCATGTTGTGATCTGGCTTTCAAAAACGCTTTCCTCTCGGATAGAAGAGATCTGCTGAATCCGGCATTCGAAGGTAATTTGAAACGCGTCCATCATAAAAACGTAATGTATTTTTTTTTTGGTAGGATTGCCGTCTGATTGGAATTTTCCGGGGTACAGAGTGCCGCAGAAGGCGCCTTGCGTTATTGAGAAACTTTGGAAGCAGCTGACTTTGGCGGACGCCGAATACGACAAGAAATATAATTTCAACAAGTACATCAAGGAGATGTTCCATGACGGCACGTTGCAAGGTGACGGTGACGCATTCACGGGTCTCTTTGATCCCGAGAACTTCGAATCCAACTTGAATTGCATCACAAAACTGTACGAACAGCGAATCCTCAACGAAGGAGATTTCGACGAGAAAATATTCCTGGGTAAGTTAACGTTTTCTTTTAATATCTGAAACGCATTCAATGCTAATAATCAAATGAACTGGTTATCTTTTCGACGATGAAAAAAATAACGCGCGCGATGTTTATAATTTAATTTGCTGCAATTACTGCTTCGCAAATGATATTTTTAATTAGAAAGTATAAATAAATCTCTATTATCGCATATGATTTACTGGAAATATTTGATAATAGCGATCTCGAGCTGACAACTTATCGTTAAATAAATTGCATATTACGATTAATTATCTCCAGTCTAAAGATTTAACACTAACAAATTATATAGAACAATATTTTACCTCAAAATATGTAACATAAATATGTGATTCAAATCGAGTATTTTTTTAATTTCATAAAATTAGTTTTGTACTTGGAAAACTAGTAACATTACAGCGAATTGTGAAAATTGCGGAAGGAGTACGATATTTTTAAAAGGACTACCTGGTCGGTAAGAATCCCTTTAAAAACAGCTGATGCATGTACGGGCGGTAAATAAATAGTAGAACCTGTTGGGGGTTGCCAGAACATCTGGCAGGTATTGGCAGCTGCCACTAGGTTAATAGTTCTCCCTAGTAAATAGCCCTTCAGGCGCACACGTTTTCCAAGAACCTTCGGCGCTTCTGAAAGGATTCCCATGTTTTTCAAGATTTCCTCCCACAATCTTCCAACGGAAATCACCAAAGTTCGTTATAAAATGCAGTTTCCCTTTCGATCTTTTACACATGCCATTCAAACTGCGAGATTTGAAAAAAAAATAATAAATCTTATTATTAGGATAGGAATTCTCACTTGCACCTATCAATAAATAAATCAACATTAATCATATGTATATAAAAAGTTCAATAACCTTTTCATTCAATACGAATAATCAGAAGGTTGTGTTTATTAACATTATTGCACTATTGAGTAGAATGCGTAAACCGTGTTATCTATATTAATATTTTAGATTAAAATAGTTATATTACTAGCCACTTCAAGTGCATTATGTAATAGTCATAAATAATAATTTGATTACATTTTTAACCTGCATTGGTATTACATAAGAACGCATGATTATATTGATTAAAAGTTAATTATAAACACGTAGGGTTGATATGCAGCGATTTCGAAACTATCAGAGGTCATCGACGATAGTGCAGTAAACCTGAGCTGATGATATAATATGGCGTTTCACGACTACGATAAAATATTAAATTGAAATCTAAAATTACATTTTTTTAAAATGATTAGAATATATCAAAATCAATTTTATTGCAATCAATAACGGCTTCAATTTTCAATTATTAATTTGTATCCAATAATCATTATTGTGCATTGTTCTAAATAACGAATCCATTGATGTAGAGCGATGTAGACGTTACGTAACCCTTTCTATTCTGCGTGTGTCGTGAAACAGACGAATTGAATATTGCAAATAGACAATTTTCGAAGCGTTGTTATTGACGCAAGGTCATCAAGTTATCGGCGTACATTTCTTATCTAGAGAAGTATGCATTTTATAGACATGCTAATGTCGTTTTCTTTTTTAATTAATGTCGAAGATGCCAGTACTAACAGTACCATTTGGACGATAACACTAAGCTATTTACTAAACAAACGGTATGCATTTGTTTTACGATACATCTTCAAAAAGGTTATTTATAATCGGTCAACGTTTCTAAATTCATCGGTGGATTTAACAAAGAAATATTAACACTTATTACATATCCTTTTAATGATTTGTATGCGTATCATATATGCATTGCTGTAATTTACCGCCAAGAATTCATGACAGTAATTTTGGCGCGAAATACGATGATAGGTTAGGATTACTTGTTGAAGTGAAAGTTATAATTCGTTTGAATTGTAATTTCCTCAAATAGTATATAGATAACATACAATTCAGGATTTACAATATTACATATGAGGATTATAATTGCTAATTACTTTCATTTTAAATTTATTCATAAATAATTACTAAAAATACAAGACTTTATTAAAATTGAGGAAATTGAAACAATTGTCTACAATTCCTAAAATACTAAGAATAATTTGATTAAAATTTAAAAAAATTGACAAATTAAGATCAATTTCTATAGCTGCATCCTATGTATTTGAACTCTAAAATAAAGAATTTCATCATTCTCTAAATATATACTTTTTAGGTCAGTTAACTTATCTCTTCTGTACTGTTGTCTTGCATATTTACATTTTTATAATTATTATGTTCGGAGATAGTTATCAACGAGGAAGGCTCATTATCTCCACACAAATTATCAACTAAAACGTCAATCAACTGGTATCACAGCAGACATTGGCAGTCAGATATGAACAGCATTATTCCTTTTCATTTTTTAAATTACGTCATTTTTAAAATGCCTATCTAGTTGTAAAAGGACACCAATGTACAATCATTACAATAAGATGAAATTTGAAGTATATTATCTTAACTTTAATGTAAATACTTACTGTATTTTAGAGGTAATTACTTATATAAATTAGTAGTTATAATCACATTTACAAAAATATGAATATCATTATAATTTATTTTTATTATTGTATTGATTTTTTTTAATTTTTGTAATTTAATGTTGCAAACAATATTATTATGAATAAAATAAATATTGATGAATAGTAAGTTAGTTTTGAATGAAGTTAATGATGTAACTATGTATCATATCGCTGCAATTGAATGCGCTTCTGAATTGTTTCTCATGTCTACTGTACTATAAATTTATTGCAGTAAGATAAGTGGTAAAACAAAAAAAATAAAAGTTTATCTACGTTGTGAGCGCAAATATAGTAAACATTAATTCTGAAATATGTAATGCTGATTAAATTCAAACGAACGATTTATCATTTTTTATATCGTAATAGTCGATGGTGTTCTAATAAAGTTATTTTTGTTCGTTTCCAGGTGAATACCATAGACAAAGCATTATGAAGAAGTGTCCACAAACTCCGTTGACTGGTAAAAAATATTTGGGTCCCAAAGAACAAAATGATATGTCTGTTCTAAGCTTGGTGACTCAGAGTATTGCGCACCTCCAAACAATGTTGGCCGGCAGCAAAGCGGAACCTTCCGAGAATCTATTGACTATATTCCAGTAAGACTCCATCAATTCTAAAAAAAATAAAATGTTTATTAATCAATACTTATTTAGGAATAGTCAATGCAATGTTACTATCATCACTGAGGTGATAACGCGTATGGGCGCGACATTCCTGGAGAAGTTTTCTAAGCAAAACAACGACCAGGATAATGTACAGGATCAGCGCAAGTTACACCTAGCCACAGTGTTGTTCTACAAGATGTTGGAGAATATTCTCGTCAACGAAATGAAGATCAATGAGAATCAAGATCTTGGTGTGTTATTGAAGAAGACAATCTTCTTTGAAAGTCTGTTTCCGTGTTGCTTGGAGATCGTGATACACTCGTATAAATCGGAGAAGGAGTTTCCGTGGATTTTAAAAGCATTGGACGTGCCTGCAATGAAATTCCTTGTTGTCATCGAGTTGATTGTAAGATCACAGGATCAATTTTATAGGGACACTGTGAAGCATCTTAGCTACGTGAGTTTTGTTACGCACTTAAAGTTGTTTATGCATAAAACTAAGTTACTTTTGTGGATGTTAAGGTAGAAGAAACGATATTAGAATCGCTCATCTGGCAACCTGACAGCTCGCTGTGGACTGCACTAAAAACGTGGGACAAAAAAATACCTAAATTCGAGGAGATCGCTTTACCCGGTAACGTTGTCTACAACAACTCATCTAACAACACAACACCTAGGAGGGCTCTATTTTCAACAGGTATTATTTAATCTTTATTTTAATGTAGTGTTTTTTTTTGTTTTTATAAATGATATTGATTTAAATTTGCTTGGTTTAGGTCCTACGAATTCGCCGGGTCCATCAGCCATTGATTCGTTTCAATCGCCGGTGTCCATCAAGAAGGCCATCAAACCTGGCCAATCGCTCTTGCAAACCAGCCGACACATACCAACACACTTGAGTGAGTTTCAAACATGTAGTTGGCCGAGCAATCCATATGAACACATTCAAATTTCAGTGGTCACCTATAATGATGGCATCAAAACGTTGATACCCATCGACCAGACCACGATCTTGCCACCGGTACAGAACACCGAACCACCGCCACCTAAAAAGTGCGGCAGCTTAGGAATTATATTCAGAAAGGTAAATTTACCTTTAACCTAATTCCTATTTATCAACGAAAACCTTGATTGTTCATCATTGTTCTATATTATTAAAGTAGTTATACAATAACATTCGAAAGTTCAATTGATTCGTAATTGATACCGTTCTTTCCACTTTTATTATATAGTTACATAGCACAAGAATAAATAATTTCTTGACACGTTTCACAATTTATAAAAGCTTTTCAGTTTTATTTTTTCTTTATTTAATTGCTACGTGTTACCTTTTGTTTAATTTGTGAGGCTTTTAAGAGTTTAAATAGCTAAATAAATAAGTTTTAAATTGAAATGAAGATAACGTATATTTGTTTTAGTTTTATAATTTGGCTGGAGTACGAATGGATTTTCTTTGCAACAAAATGGGCATCACTGACGATGATTTGAGGAAAAAAATTTGGACTGTATTCGAGCACTCGATTAGGGAGCAAACGGAACTGTTGAAGGGAAGACATTTAGATCAATTGCTGATGTGCGCCGTTTATGTTATTTGCAAAGTAAGTTGATTTTGTTAACTTTTCTGATAACATTTGCTAATTGTTGTTATATTTATTGTTTCAGTTGACTGGAAATAATCATAATAACTTCGCTGAGATTATGAAATGTTACAAGGTGCAGCCACAGGCTAGCAGCGCTATCTATAGAAACGTATTTATTAAGACGGAAAACGATTCTGAGAAGAAGGGTAGTTTAATCGACTTTTACAATTGGATTTACACGCCTAAGATGAAGAATTACGTGCTGAAGTTCTCAAATGAAAGGAATAAAAACAAGGAAAAGGATATGGAAAAGCAGGTAAGTCGTCATTTACTTTTCGTAGATTCTTCTAATTAATTAATTGTTTGAATTTAAGTTGGAGGATCCTCAATTAAGTCCATTGCCGTTGGTCACGTCCCTTATAGCGTCTCCGCGACACCAAATTATAAAAAATGTTTTCGTCAAACCATTCGAAAGCCCGAATAACGGCACGAACGGTAGCAGTTATAGTTACTCGTTCAGCCGTAGTTCATCCAAGGTAATCACATTATTATTACTTTTATTTTTATAATATTAATAATTGTTGATTGTGTTTTAGGATTTAAAAGATATTAACAAGGCAATAAGCTGTGGTCCAACGAGGAAGAGGTTGTTGGAAGATGGCGACGGCGACATATCTAATAAGAGGTATGCGAACAGGAAGATGCAAGCATTGATAGCTGAAAGGAGTGTGCAAACTAACTAAGATTACAAAGAGTTTTTATTTCTGTATATACAGTGATATTATTGTAATATTATGAAGAAGAAAAGTATACATATAGCAAATTTATATATTTAACAAAATGAAAGAAAGAATTTACACGTCCTGTGGTCGGGGTTTCGTACGCATAAAAAAAAGAAAAGGTATCGATGAAGAGAAGAGGAAACGTACGGTTTTATTTATTATTAATTGACATAAATCAAGCTTCTATTACAATTATCTCAGAAGTCCAAAAACTAATTTTGTAAGACTCTTGAGATTGTTACTTTTTTTGTTCGCCAAGTCCGCTATTGTTTGGTTGCAACGATTTTTGTTGATCGGTTTTTTTTTGTGGATGGCGGTAGGGTTTATTAATACACTTCTACAACTTGTTCTTTTTTTTTTCTCTTTTGAAATTAGTTGATCTCACGTTAGTTCTAGACATAGGATAAAATTTTCATTGTTTTAAAAAACAATCAAATAAATATAATTATATATTTTTAATTTATTTTGTGTATAAACAAAAGATTAAACTTTTATCATAGCTTTTAAATGATACTTTTTTATATATTAAATAATTATGATCTATACATTTTCTATTTGATTTTTGACACATCCTTGAACGACGGTGTTTCTAAAACACTAATCAGATTGTATGCTTTCCTATAGGTAAATAGTAATCAATTCATGATTCAAACTATAGACCCAAACTATGCTAAAGAGGCGCCGCGAAAATTGAACAAAAATATTTACATAATGCTCGTCCTGATATATACCAATATTTTGTGCTCCAACAGCGGAATCTGATATATTAAGAACGCCCGAAACCGAAAAAGTCTGGAAACTTTTTTGCTTATTACCCCCAAAATATATTTATGTCGACGTAACATTTTTGTCTTCGGAGTCAAATAAATTTAAAATATTTTAATTACCCTAAAAATTTCATTTTCACCAAACTTGGGTACTTTACTCAGATTAACAGACGCCATGCTTTTGAATCTTTTTATTGCTTTGTTGTAATTTTATTAACTTTCATTAGAGCAAATTATGTTATTTTCTCAGTAAGTATTCCACATCAGCGTATCGTAACTACCTGTTCACATCTGTAGTCGAACCGATCCGTGAAAAATGCAGAGCTAAATTTCTACAAGACATTTTCTGAATAATACTGCCTTAAAATATATTTTTCGGTTCCATTAAGTTTTGCGTTAAGAAATACTGTTCTACATGGTTTAAGTCCAAAATGACAGGAGCGAAAAAAGTTCTAGAAATATAATTTGTTGAAAAAAATAATGGAATTGATACAGTTTGTTATAAGAAATTTTGGAAGTTTTACCCCGTTCATACAATTTTTTTTAATTCGTTCCAAAATTTTCAGATTTTTACTCGTATAGTGAAATACGTATTCCCATATAAACTAATGTAAATTACGATAATGCGTTCCATGCCGGAGAAAAAAAAAGTATAACTCGATTTTTCATATCTATGGTTCTTTTTATTCTTTGGCTTTGTCTGAACACAAGTTTGGAAATTTTGTGATCACAAACAACACTAAGATGCAACTGGAATGATCACTAACACTAGGAATTATTTTCCAATCACACTCGGTGAAGTGAGTTTATATTACTTGTATCAATATGGGGACTTGGTAGAGGTCTCTTTATAGTTTTAATATTTGCTCATATATCATAATAATATTTGGACACAATACATTTGCTTTTTGCATTTACAGCAAACACAAATTATATTTGCAAAGTATTGTCCGCTTTAAACAAAGATGACAAAGAAAATCGAAGATGGTTAATATATTCAAAAATACACATATGTGTACACAAGTTCTAAAAATGATGTAGAAGGCGCGTGATCCGGGACTTCTCTTCTCATCGTCACTCGTTAAGCGAGTCATTTTTCTTACAATTCATTTTGCTCGTTAAGCGAAATGCTCGTTATCCGAGGTGCTCGTTAAGCAAGGTTCCACTGTAATTGAGTAGTTCAAACAATTAGATTTTAGTTCAAAATCATTCTAAGTTAGTTCCAATTGAGCAGTTCAGTTAGTTCATTTGCTTATTGTATTTAAATTGTCATGTTTTCTTTCTAATTTCAGTGGAACTTAATTAAAACTTTCTTTGTTAATATTAATATCATATCTTTTAATTAAATAAAGCAATATGTGGAAATTGCTGTACGCATCGCCTCGGATACAAAATGTTTTAAAGTAAGATGATATAACCTCAATATTGCATAATTTTAATAAATTATTTTAAAACCTCTAGGGTTTCGCTGCAAAAGACCTCTTCAACTTTAAGATTTTGTAACAATGGTGCTAAAAATTTAGTAACAAAAGTGCCACCAATTTTAAAATCCAAACCTGTATATAATTTCTCATTAATAACCAAGATATCACTTGGCCTCAGTGGTGCTATATTGACAAAGGTTTACCTAAACAATAATAATGTCTTATGTGAAGCAAAAAGTACCCGGATGGCAGGTTATAAGAAGGATGAAAAAGAGGCATCATTCAATTGGAAAATGTTTTGGGAATATCTCAAACCACATCTGCTCTATTTTCTAGCTGCCATTACTGTACTATTATGCAATATCAAACTTGATTTTAAATAATATTTTGTTGTTTTTGATAGGGTGCTTTAGTTGTGGCTATTTTGAATATTCAAATACCTCAGGTCATGGGTGGAGTAATAAATGTAATTGCCAAGTTTACAGATGTTAAAGACAGTGAAGTGTTTATGAGGGAGATGAAATTGCCTGCATTTAAACTGGTTGGCATGTATTTAGCTCAGGTAAATTATATTTATTTATTGGAGTTATGTTTGTGTCTGGTGTAGGTAAATTTTCTATGCACTAACTCTAAACAATAAATTTAAGCTTTTCCCACATTTCTTTTTAGTCTTTCTTCACGTTCTTTTATATTCACATGTTGTCAAACATTGGAGAAAAGATTGCTTATAAGATGAAAACTGATTTGTTTTCAGCAATTATCAGACAAGATATTGAATTTTTCGATCATCATAGGACTGGGGAAATCATCAATAGGTAGTATATGTAATTATATAATTAACTCAAAACTTATTGATTTTCTTTGCAGATTAACATCTGATATTCAAGAATTTAAAAGCAGTTTCAAGCAAACTGTCTCAGGTGGCCTGAGAGCTGCTACTCAGATTGTGGGATGTGCAATTTCTCTAGTTCTGATTTCTCCACACATGACTTTTGTAACAATGCTGTGTGTTCCAACTATAATTGCTGTTGGTACAGGATTTGGCTCATTGCTTAGGAATACCTCTAGAAAGGCTCAAGCCCAAGTTATTTGTTTTTCATAATATATTGAGACACATTTACTTAATCGAGTTGTTGTAGATTGAAAAAACTACTGCAGTTGCAGATGAAGCTGTGGGTAATATAAGAACAGTGAGGGCTTTTGCAATGGAAGAAACCGAGAAGGAATTGTTTGATTCTGAAGCTGAAATAGCAATGGTTTTGAATCAGAAGCTAGGATTTGGCGTTGGGTTGTTCCAAGCTGGTACAAGTTTGTTTTTAAATGGGTATATTATTTAAAACTCTAATTAATCCTTGAACTAATCTATAAAACTTTAACTAGAATGGTTTTGGCTACATTGTATATGGGTGGATATTTATTATCCACCAATCAATTGTCTCCTGGTGAAATGATGGCATATTTAATGGCCACCCAGACGATTCAAAGATCGTTGGCACAAATTTCTTTACTCTTTGGTTCAGTCATTCGTGGAGCTGCTTCTGGTTCCAGAGTTTTTGAAGTAAATTGTCTACTAAACGTGTATAAATCAATATTTAATTTTTATTTTAGTACATCAATTTAAGTGCAAAAATGAATTTAACTGGCGGTGAAATAATTCCTTATCATTCCTTGCGAGGTGACATTGTATTCAAGGATGTTGACTTTGCATATCCCAGTAGGCCAGAGCATGTGAGTTATTTATTGATTTTGATGTTATATTTTCTTATTGTTTCTTTATAAAAACTGGTTTAATTTACTTTAATATATCATTTTAAGGTGGTATTGGATAAATTTAATCTGGAAGTACCAGCTGGTAAAACTGTAGCCATAGTTGGTTCTTCGGGTAACGGAAAATCTACTGTCGTAGCTTTATTGGAACGGTTTTATGACGTTAAAGATGGTTCCATTACGCTCGATGGAAAGGATATACGGACTTTAGATCCTAGTTGGTTAAGGCAAAGGGCTTTGGGGTTAATCAGTCAAGAGCCAATTTTGTTTGGAACAACGGTCTTGGAGAATATAAGATACGGAAAACCAGACGCTTCCGACCAAGAAGTAAATTTCCACTTACACTTATCTCGATTATTTTATTCACTTGTGTTAATCCTAGGTGATTGCGGCGGCAAAAATGGCCAATGCTCATGACTTCATCAGTGGTTTTCCTAAAGGTTACGACACTTTAGTTGGTGAAAGAGCTGCAGCTCTTTCAGGTGGACAAAAGCAAAGGATTGCTATTGCCAGGGCTTTGCTCAAAAAACCCAGTGTATTAATTCTGGATGAAGCAACGAGGTTACTATATTTGTATTATATTAAGTTCATTCATTAACGCTTTCTATTGTAGTGCTCTTGATACTGAATCTGAAAAGATAGTTCAATCGGCGTTGGATAATGCCAGGATGGGACGCACAGTTATTGTAATTGCACATAGACTCTCTACCATTCAAAATGCGGACGTCATTGTAGTTTTAAATAAAGGAAGAGTTGTAGAGGTAATATTTATTTCCAACTAAAATTTAATATATATATATAAATATCGGTATTTTCAGATGGGTACGCATGAATCATTGAAGAAACTAAAGGGATACTATTATTCCTTAACTTTTGATCAACAAAACCGCTCACCGGCCGGATAAGTTAAGCCAAATATTGTTAATTTATTTGTTGTTGAATAAATATTTTGTTAATTTTATCTCTTAGTTTTTATTACCGATTACAACTTCTTTACATACAAAACTTAATGTGAAGTTAGAATCAAGATCGATTTAACTGTTTCTATGGTTACCAAACAAGAGCAACGATGTTTGACATGAAATTCTACATCAATTTATCTCGTGTCGTGCATTAATTTTAAATGAATTCGCAATGTCGGAAGGCGAAGAGGTTGTGAAAGAACCGGACGAACCTAAACCGGAAGAACCTAAGGAAGAAGTAGCAGAACCTATTGCAACTGATCAACCTGAAACCACCCCAGATGCGGAAACGACAGTTGTATCTGAACCTAAGATAGAAGAAAATGTTCCAGAAGCTTCAGCAAATCCAGAGTCCGGTGATGTTCCTGAAACACCAGAGGTTATTCCTGGAGAAGCGGCTCCTGAATCTGATGTACCAGCTGAAGGAGAACAGGTTCCAGAAGGTGAAGCAGCTGCTGAATCTCCAGCAGAAGAAGGTGATAAAGCGGAAGGTGAAGCTAAACCTGACGGGGAAGCGGATCCGGATGCTGTTAAACCAGAATCGAAATCGAGCTCCGAATCATCGACAACCACCCCCGATATAGATGAGGAAGAAGTAGAGCCTGAGTTCGATATGAACGAAGGCGAAGAGGAGGAGGAGGAAGTTGAAGAAGAACTAACGGAAGCTTTAGTAGAAACTGAAGAAGAGTTTATGGAGGAAGAGATTGAAGAGGAGAGTGTAGAAGAGGAAGAGATTCCTTTTGTGAGCGTATTTGAACGGTTGGATGCCCCGAGAGATTTGCTTCCGCCTTTAGAGATCACCGAAGCTATGCTGAAGAATATTTCGGTGCAGTTGGGCCAGATCAGGCTGTGCTGGCCGAAAAAAGAGAATGTCAGTTTGCCTACTTTCATGACCAACGTTATACTTCCTGATGGGTACTTGATCAATACTAACAAGGAAAAACTGTTGCTGCTGTACGCAGAAAACTTTCGTCAGCAGTACCATAGCACATTCACTAACAGGAAACCACTTCTATTGGCTGCAGATAATGTAGTGGGACAACGGGTATGTTTCTTTTTTCTTAAAAATTGAAGTACCTTGAAATGAAAAACGTTTCTATAAAAACAAATTAATATTTTATAAAATATTTAAAATTTTATCAAAGTAACATTCATATATATAAAAAAATCAATATGTAACTAAAATGTATTGCATAATTGATGCATACATATGCTAGGTTTTAAAAACTTTTCCTGCAACGGAAGGAATACTTCCTAGATTGTGAAATTTTCACGCATTAGCTTATTTATTTTGTAGTATAATCAACAAAATGTAAAAAAAAGTGTTCACAGAACACTGGTGTTCCGCGGAACATAGTTTGGGAACCCACATATTACAGAATGCAGATATTTCCGCACTTGAATAATTTAATTTTGATTTTGTAATAATATCTTTCATGTAACGATTTATAGAAAATGGTTTGTACTGCTTTGCGGCCTACGACATTATCCTCTCCGAAGTTGAGCACTTGGGAGGAGTTGTCCAGTTTCGTTGCTGATCATATAACATATGAGCCAATGTATCCCCCAACAGATCTGGTAAGTGTTAGCTCTAATGTTTAATTACTCTAAACTAGTACCAATTATACATGTATGAAATAATTATTTTTCTATTAAAAAGAAACGCTTTAGTTTAATTAGATATCAACAATTAGCGAATTCGTATTCCGATAAGAAACAACGTTTCGCTGTCGGCAGTTTCGAAACTTCCAAAACGACGTTTAAAGATCGATTTGTCTGCTACACAAAGTGTTTGCGATTTCTTCACGAATGATTAACCCGTCGTGCACTTTTCAAGTTCAAGGGTTTCGCACAAGTTCCAAGGTCGCGCAAAACTTTTCAATATCACGGAAACTTGAAAAGTTGCCGTCGAGTTATTACGACTACGCTGAAAGTTTGAGTGCGTTGTAAATTCGAAGCATCGTTGCCGCCCCACGCGGTCGTTCTTCTGCATTCTGTTTAAGGCCGCGAGGATTCTGCGGCTGCAGGTTAACGAGTTTTCAGTACATTTGATTCCATTAATTCATCCGCTCTTTATTTACGGATTTCATTTGTAGATCAGTATTTTTTGCTTTGCAACATAATATAATTTGCGCTAATCTCGGAGAGTTTTTGCGTTTGTGAATACACACATTTTAAATTATTGTGTTAGAAGATATAAAGTTATTACTTTTTATAGTCGTTATAAGTATCATTGAATGTAAATTTATTAGGTATGACTACTAAGATATGGTTATTTTTGAACATTTTTGAAGGCGAATACATTCTCGTTTTACTTAATTGCTATTTAGAACAACAAATATTCTACAGAATGTTTAGGTATTCTATAGAATATCGAATTTAGTACTTTGCCGTTTAAATTTCCTACATCCAAAGGGGAATTCGTTCTAAGAGTAGAGCTTCAATCAGATTAAAAACAAATTATTTAGTTAATGGAACCCCCCCTGTTATACAAATATAATGTTTTAGGAGGGTTTTGACAATGTTTCACCGTGTTATATCGAAACAGTGTTATAAGAGGGTTTATGAATTAGGTGTAATAGAAAAACGTAGGTGGATGGCTCGGACCTTGGATATGAAAGGGTTCCACGTAATGAGCGAGTCCTTATTGTTCGTGTGCATTTATGCCGGAATGAAATTTCACGTTGAATTAAGCATTCGATAAGCAACCCCCTCGATCATTTAATAAAAACATTGGAGCGACCGTGGATGGGTTGGGGCTAGGGTGCGGGCGGAAGAGGGACAAACGCCTGTCCGAAATACACGGGGCTGCGTATGTGTGTTTGCCATTGCGCTCGGAGGGCGGCTTTGCACGCGGGGCTGAATTTCGCGCGCGTGTATTAGGGATAATTGAAGCGCCAGCGTCGCCGCCCTCGCCCCTCCGACGTCCTCTTCCGGCTTGGGTCGCCCATCCGCCACCCCTCCTCTACGCTCGGACGTTATTGGAAAGATGCGCTCGCTTCAACATCGGCGACTACCCCCAGTACACATATATACACATACACATCTATATATAGCACTCTACATAGAAATATATATATATCTCGCGATATTATTATGCGTACAGCATGCCTGGAATACCATTCGCGTGCCTCTGTGGCATTAATAAAAATTGTAATTAAGCAATGGACGCGGCTGGGCTGGCCACCCTAACTTCATTGCGATCAAACGCGCACTGGATTTTAGGAAATTTGGATTTCAATTATGTAACCGCGCTTCGCCCCATATTGGCTGATACCGTTCAATTTTTTTTTACCCGGAATTCTTTGCACGACCCTAACATCATTTACAACTATTTACAACTGCCCAACCAACACATTTGCAAATTTTAGTATATTAAATTTATATTTTTGGGTACTATATATACGTTCATTGTTAACTCTTGTTATTGTAATTACAGAAATAAAATCTTAATAAATTAACGTATATTCTAATAATACTTAGTATTAGATTACAACTTGTTAATTTATATAATTGATAACAAACAAATCGATTGGTAAAAGTTTCTTGAACATAGAAATACAATTCCAGTTTTGTTATTGTTTCTTTTCTATCGATTCTGTATATAAATATTATTTCCTTGATGGACAATAGCAATTTTAGTAAACTTGTTTATATTTTTTAAATAAATTTCCTCTCCCTTTCTAACTTCCTAGAACAGAAGCAAATATGAAGAAGATTTCTCTCTAATTATGAATATATAACATTTCTAGTATATACTCATATATACGTTTAAATTAATTAGTATATTGAACTTAATTGTAATTAATACGTACGCTTTGTCACACAATTAACATATAGACTTTGGAGTGTATTCATGTACATATGTTAAATATCTTCTACTTTGAGACACTATAAACTATAATTTTTGACGTCAATTGTAGAAAAGGTTTTGGAACCTTTTTCCCCGATTGCCCACAATTATACTGTCGTTTCTGATGACATCCAGATGTCCCCCATAATTCTTGTTTTCAGAGAAGACTATTTCACAAAGTACCTCTGCTTTTGTTAATTATAATTATGTTTCTTAGCTTTTACTTATAATATTATCTATAATTGATTTAATTAAAAATGTCAGATGCACAACTCATGGTGTATCATAATAGGCTGTAAATAATTTAATTAGTAAAACAATTTATTGAAAATGAAGAATAATAAAAAAAACCAGGCTAGTTCAAAATATTAGTAGAAAGGTGACATTGTTAGATTTATTATAGGCAAGAAATATGACCGTGTCGAATATAGACAGTTTAAAAGTTTACAAAATAAAAAAAAATCGACAACAATATTAGCGCGAAGCATTTACAACAGGTCATATATATAATATGCAATAACGAATTTCCGGAAATTTTGGGAGCAGAATTAACTGAATCCATTGGAAATATAAGGTATTAAGTCCGCGTGGAAACCGTGTATAATAACACATTTATTTACTTCCTTTACCGGGAATTGAAAAAAACCATCCATCCATCCATATGGCGTCCCATCGAATTTCATAACTGTACCATCAATTACCCGGCCGATATCTTCGCGGTCTTCACCGAAGTTCCCTCCGAAAATCGTGTCTGCACTTTGTAGACAGAGACAGACGGACGGATGGAGGCCGCAGTTGCATGCCCGAATGCAGAAGATAATTAAGATGGTTATCCTTTTCGCAAAGTCGCTCTGACGAAAACCGCCAACCGTCCGACCGTCCTTGTATACTTATATTCATATATATTTAGAAGAAGGCAAGCTCACACAAAAAAGAAAACAACAGCCTAAAACCTAGAAAGGAAGATCGCCGGGACCCTGGAGGGGTGCATTGTGTCGAAAAACCATTGCACAGCCTCCCCATAAATTCCACCCGAGCCGCGGGAGAATTTCTTCCGAATGAGGACAACGGGACAAAAAAAAACCAACGAAACGGAGTGCCTCAAATATATATATATATAGTTTCCTTCGGGGGTTAAAAGAGGAGAAAAAAAGGGGTCGCATTATCCCGTGGGGAAAGCGAGTTAAGCGCACGCATAAAAAAATTGGTACCGACGAAGGCTGGTTCTTCGTTTGTGCCTGAAGGCATGAGAAGAACCGCGGAGCCGCCGCGGTCCAAGGTTGCGATAACGTTCCTTCTTTTTCAGAACATTTTTTTTTGTTTGCTTGTTTGTTCCTTCTTCTTCTCGTTGTTCCCCCTCGAACCCCTCCGAAGGCTGCGCCTACCAACTGATACCGTCGATGGTTCCACGAACCGAAAATCAGTGCGTGACGCCGAACCATGGCCAAGGGGGCGCGAAGAGCGCGGCACGCTGAGTTCCTAAGGGAGACACAAACACACACACACATATACCCGAGCCGATGCGGAAACTTGGCCTCCGACTAAAATTAAAACGGCTCACTACACCCCACGAATAATAAATATAACCGGAGGAGCGGAATACATTTAACTGATACCCCGTTTCAATTAAGGGCTGTCTTAATTAAAAACGGATTAGGGCCTCCTTTTGTCCTCCTGAATTCAATCGATCGGTCATTTAAAAAATGGGATGGAATCCTTTAAGCGTATGCCGGAAGGTGACTGCAACACCTCTCGACATTTAATTAGAGAGAATCAACGCTTTTAATAAAACGAAGTCGACTTGATACAATACAAAACAAATAACTGCAGGCTTATTCTGTTGACAAGTTTTCGATTGTCTCAGTTAATATCACAGATGAGATCAGATCAAAAACATAGAATATTTGGTCTACTTTTTTTTATCATGAAATTATTTCCATTGCTTGTCATAATAAAAATTACAAATTGATTATATCATTTGATCTTTTAATAGGATTATTATGTATGTTTATGATATATTTATAGTCACGTACATTTTACACGTTATATTCGAGACTATCTTGTTTCAAACACTACTATAGTTATAATTCTTCTGAAATGCTTAATTTGATAGTAATAGACCAGAATAGAATAAATAAAAATGAATATTAGTAATAATTTAAAGAAATCTTATTGGTTGATAGGCAATTGCGATGTAAATTTCTAATGCTTATATCACTTTTGCTATGGATGGTTGTTCAAATGATGAATCAAATTTAATTTAATTTGGAATCGTGGATAGGCTTGTATGAATTGTAAAAAGATAAGATTGCAGTATGAAGTTTCAACGATGTCGTAAATTATATCTAATATTGTTCGTGAACTGCTAGGTATTGTTACTAGGTTTCACGATTTCGATTAATATCCAACTATAAATTCCTTTGTTTTCCTCTTCGTTTCATTATTTAAAGACTGTTCATAACTATGAATTGATTATTTAAAATTTAATTATATAAAAATTAATTGATTATTTATTACAGATAAATATTTGTTAATACTTGTATATGTATTTGCTATACCACATAGTTGGATTAATACGAACAATTGTATACTATTTCAATTGAATTATATTACAAAGAATCAGTAACATTCTTTGATTTTGTTTTATATATTACAGTTTACAAAGTTAATAACGCTTAATCTTATATTAGACACAATCTCATAGTATCTAAGGATCATCATAACAAATGAAGCTATAATTACTATTATAATTCTATGCGAATCACTTTCATCCAATAAGTTACATATTTCAATATTAATGGCTTTACTTTATATATAGCAGCTAATGGTTAAGTTATTTTATGCTTAAACATGTTTAACCACCAAGACAGCTGAACGGAATAAGACCAATTATATGCTCTACACGCATGAGAAGGACCCCTTTGGGTTTTAAGTAATTCATCCGTATAACATCCTACTGCTTTCAAATCACCCTAGTGGGTTTTACTAGCTTGAAATCTTCAACATTAATTTCTGATTGTACGCACCTTTAACACAACCTTTCTTAAACATTGACTTTAGCATCATGTTTGATAGGATCATCTCAACCGGTTTTAAGAAAACAATAATATTTATTATACCTTATATTTCTAATAGATCCGAATTATTCATCAATTCGTATCTCTCTGGTGTACCTTTAGGTGGACAATGGACTTGTTAAATAATCAAACTCAATTATAACAGACTGAACAGACTAATTACATGAAATAAATTATGATTATGTGATTTATATGAACATTAAGATAATCGGTGTTAATAAAATAATTTTAGTTTTTGTTAATGGTTGTACGTAATATAAATGAGTAATAGAATGCGTTTTTCAACTTATTGTACGATTTTGTAAGTTATTTTATACGCGGATAAAGA